TTTTGTGCCGGATCCGCCTCCCTACGTCGCTGACATTAGCGTACGCTGGAGACGGATGCCGGCATCGGGTGAAGAAGACGCCGCGGGGATCGAGGGACAAGGTGAGTTGAATTCAGGGGATTCCCGAGCGTGGCTCAGGGTTACCGCTCCTAGACAGGAAATTTAACCCCGAGCCACGATCGGGAAAACCGCCAGGGAGGTTAAGGAAGATGGAGGGAGATAAATAAAAACTTTCTTTGCCATTTTAATGTGTATATGCATATGAGCTGGAGGGTATATAGCTTATAAAACGACTCTAAATGGTTTTGTTTTGTTTTAAATGAGTTATTATTTTTACTACTCTTTCTGTAAAATGCTCTCAACAGATATCATGTTAAATGAATAGCTGCAACTGTGGTTAGAGGCAAATGTCATCAGGAAAAGTCACCAATTCATTCACATGCTATGAGTCAGGAGCTAAAAATATTTTTTTATGCTCCTTTTTATTTTCTGGAGAATGGTTTGTTTTCCCCAGACATTGTTTATAATTTCTCAGTGATGGCAACAGTGCCAGCTTGTAAAGTGTATGGGGAGAAAACAAGAAGCATTCTGCTTTTGTCTTTCTGTGTCTTCCAAGCAACTATTCCCTTTTTCTTTTAGAATAAATGCATCTGAATTACCAGCTGAGACTTTAGAAGCTTGTTTAAACAGCCAAATAAAGGCAGCTGAGAAAGGGCCCTTGAAAGACCACACTAAGGCAAAGTGACGGGCACACAGAAAATTAAACATCTCCCTGCACAAATCTGGGAACATTTCATCAACTCTCAGTGATTTTTGTGGCTGCCAGAAATGTTAAGATTGTTTCTGCAAAATGTTTATTTTTATGATTGGAGTTCAGCATGATAATTTAATTACCAATATGTTTAAAATTCCGGATGTTACACCCATCCGATGGGAGTGTGCTATTCTGGTGTGTGAGTGTATTCATAATTAAAGCCAAACTACTTTTTATATAACTGAGTTATTTCCATATTGTTCTGTTTTCATCTTATATACATTGAAACTATTTTCTCTCCCAATTGTTTTGTACATTTTGGGGTGAGCTTGACTGAATCATATTCACCAAGACAGACTAAAATTGTAAAAAAAAAATACAGTTAAAAATGACATTACATTTTATATATAATTTTACAACATCTTTATTTTCAGATACTTAAAATTAATGGAATAGTTAAAAAAATATTTCAAAAGATTGACTAATTCATAATGAATTAAAGTGCAATAATGCTACAGCTAACATTTAAGAGGTTGTTCACTAAAGAGCTGAAGGATTTAGCCAAATGTTCGGCTAATCCTTCAGCTCGCTTCGGCTGCAGAAGCCCTTCAGTTTAGCCGAACCTAAGGTTTGCTGTACACGCTATTTTCAAAAATGTCACGGGACTTGCTCTGCACGTTTGTTTACATGCCATTTGAGGACAGAGAGCTGGCATGTAATGAAAACAAATGGGTGAAGTTAGATGCAATGTCACAACTCGCATCTTTCATTTTGCGGTGGGAATTCGGCAGCAGTGGACGGGGCGGCGGGCTTTTTTTATTTCGGCGAGTGGGTGGGAGTGGTTTAACATGATTGATGAGGATCTGCATTGCTGGACAACGGGATTTACTTTTGGATTGCATCGTTGGACAACTTTTTGTTTTTGTTTTATACTAATAAAGGACTTGCCAAAAACTGGCTTTTGTTTTTTGTTTAAACAAAGGACTTTTTAAAAGTGCGATGTGTTTATTTTTTGGGACTATTTGGTGATTGTGTAGGGGTAACAACTACCCCTTACTCATTCACAGGGGAAGGCGGCATCTGGGTGCCCCCTTTCTAAACTGGGCACCCAGATGCAGATATGCTCCCCTGCTTGCAGACCCCCACAATGCCCAGGCCAGGGTTGTGGGGAAGTGGCCCTTGTCCTCATCAACATGGGGACAAAGTGCTTTTCCAGGGACTCCCTCCTGGAAAAGTATCCTCCCAATGATGTGGGCATGTGGCCCAGTATGGAGCAGGTGGGGGGGGGCTCGCTCACCCCCCTTTCCTGCTCTGCCCGGCCACTTCTTAGATTAAGGGTCTGGTATGGAATTTTAGGGGGGGCCCCACTTTTTTTCTGGCATTGGGGGTCCACCTTAAAATTCCTACCAGACCTAAAGGGCCTGCTATGAATTTGTAGGGGAACCCCCTCTTTTCTTTTACATGAGGGGTCCCCTCCCTAAATCATACCAGACCCTTCAGGCTTTTTTTTGTTTACATTCACACTTTTCATTCTATTTTCTACCTCTGAGGTAGTGAACAGAATGACCGAACCAAAACGAGTCGAACATTCAGCAATTCACTCTCAATTCACTCTCTGTTGTTAAGCCCCTTGGAGAATAGGGGTGAACAGCAGGGAATGAACTGCCGAACGTTCGTCTCAGCCGATCCAGATGTTGCATCGGCTGGGACAAACTGGATCTTTGCTTCAGTTCAGCCGAATGTGCTATGGCTGTTCGGCCGAGCCAAAGGGAGGTGAAGTGAGCAGTGAGAAGTGAGCAGCCGATGTATGGCTCAAAATAGCCATATGTGGCTGCAGTGAATAGCCGGAGAGGCTTCGGCTCCCTTCATTTCGGCTCGGTTATTTATTCGGCTGCCTTTGGCAGCTGTGATGGTCGTTCCGGGTTACGGACTGCCTCGGGACTCCGGAGTCGCACTGCGCAGGCGCGAGGGGGGATTCCATCTACTCGGGGCCGAGTCCGTTCGCGGCTTCACACAGGAGTGCCTCAGGACTCCGCCCCCTCTCGCCTCCAGGCTGGAACTGCGGACTGCTTGATACTGCTGTTGCTGAACTCCTGTGTAAAAACATACTTGTGCCGCAATTACTGCTCAATGCAAACTCTTGCATTATTGTGCTGTTGTTGAACTCCTGTGACAAATCATACTGGTGCTGCAATTATTGTTCATATCACTCCCCTGCATGATAGTGCTGTTGTTGAACTCCTGAGACAAATCATACCGTGGCGAGTTGCTGCTGATAGCAACATTCCCTGTGAGAAAGGGGCTGTGTTGTATTCTTTCTACATTGCATATATGCTTCTAATAGTCTTCATCGTACTGAACTCTGCGTGTGATTGCTGTTGTACTGAACTCATAGACATTGCATATAGTCAGGTACACCTGTGAGTACAAGGTGGTCTGCCTGTTAACGGTCCAGCCTCATTGCTGGACTTGTGTTTGCCAATTCATACCCTCTCTCCATACGGGGTATGATGTGAAGCAGCTCCCTCTCAGCCTCTATAAATACAGGGCATTGGAGACAGAGCTGCAAGACTGATCCCCATTTCTCCACATAGAACTCTTACTCCACAGTTGAGATCCTCATCCATCCCCCGGGGAAGCGAGGCATTACAGTACAGTGGGACCCAAAAGAAAAATGGATCCAGTGGAGTTAGCACAACACATAGTAACCTTATCCCAAAGAATTCAGGACCTGACACTAAACGTCGGGGAACTTAGGACCGAAAATAAAACGCTACGCGAAATCATTACCCAGAAGCTACCTGAAGGTGCCTCTGCTAAGCTAGACCAAGAGCCGAAGGTAAGCCCTCCTGACATCTACTCAGGAGATCGCAGGTACTACAGTGACTTTCTGAATTCTTGTAAACTCATGTTTGAGTTGAGACCCAGAGCCTACCCCACTGATAGGGTGATGGTTCGCACCTTAATCTCGTATCTCAGGGGCGAACCCAGGGCCTGGGTGAACACTTATTTGGAGTCAGACGACCCATTACTAAAGTCCTATGACGGGTTCCTCGCAGCCATGTCCCAGCTATATGATGATCCAGGGAAACAACTTACTGCGGAAACAGCTATTAGAAGCATCAAACAGGGCAAACGACCGGTCGAAACCTTTATTGCTGAATTCAAGCGTTGGGGCCGACAAACGGAGTGGAACGACATCAGTCTTCGAAATCAATTTCATTTGGGCCTCTCAGACGCTGTCAAAGATGAACTTGCCAGAGTCGAATTACCTCAAAGTCTAGACGCCCTTATGCAGCTGTCCATCTCCATAGACCGGCGCCTCAGAGAAAGGCGCGCTGAGAGACTCACCGGCATACCCTGGACGCCAAGGAGGTCAACCACATTACCACCTCCCGAGCCCATGGAGGTTGGCATGATACGGGGACCCTTATCACAGGACGAGAAGTCCAGACGTCGCAACCTTCATCTTTGCATGTATTGTGCTTCCGCCGAACACATGGTAGACGAATGCCCGTCAGTACGGAAAAAGAACGCAGGTAAGAGTATAACCACTGCTAAAACTTACTGCCCACATCTCTAATCCATAAATTACCTGTATATATCATTATCCCTACAGTGGGAACAAAGAAGAATACAGATTGAAGCGATGGTTGACTCTGGAGCGTGTGGAAATTTCATCGATGCTTAACTGGTCAATGTTAACAGCATCCCAACTGTAAAAAAGAACCGGACCCATCTCCTTCAGTTTCATCGATGGTACCACACTCTCCACAGGTCCAACAGACCTACAGATGCAGCCTTTGTTAGTCGCCACCAATGACAACCATCGTGAATGCATAACATTCAACATCATCCCTTCCTCGGTATTCCAAATTATACTGGGTCTACCCTGGTTGAGACTACACCATCCCACCCTAATATGGGCTGAGAGCAAAGTACGGTTGAACTCCGACTATTGTCGGAACACCTGCTATCCTGTGACACCTATTATGCATGTCGACCTAGGGGAGATTCCTCGCCGTTACCACGACTTCCAGGACGTATTCCATGCCCAGAATGCCGATGTACTACCCCCCACATAGGTCATACGACTGCCCCATAGATCTCCTCCCGGGCAGTACGATGCCGGTGGGCTGAATATACCCTCTTTCCCAACCGGAACTAAACCACCTAAAAAAATACCTGGACGAAAACCTCAAAAAAGGCTTCATCTGCCCATCCACCTCCCCCTGCTGCAGTAGGGATGTTTTTTGTCCGCAACAAAGACAACAGCCTCCGCCCTATAATCGACTACAGAGCTCTCAACTCCATTACAGTGAAGAACCGTTACCCTTTACCCCTCATCCAAGAACTCATCGAAAGATTGCAGACCGCCAAGATATATACCAAATTGGATTTAAAGGGGGCATACAACTTAATTCGTATGAGGGCTGGTGATGAATGGAAAACGGCCTTTAGGACCAGGTATGGACTGTTCGAGTACTTGGTTATGCCGTTTGGACTGAGCAACGCCCCTGCCACATTCCAATTCTTTATCAATTATATATTTAGGGATCTTTTAGACATTTGTGTGGTCATCTACCTTGATGACATCCTCATCTACTCGGACGATCCGGTTGAACATTGAAAACATGTGCGCTGGGTCCTTTCACGTCTCCGTGCTCACCGTCTTTACGCAAAGTTGGATTTCTGGGGTATGTCATCTCTCCTGAAGGCATAAGAATGGACGACGCAAAAATGAGTGTATTCACAATTGGCATGTACCCCGTTCCCAAAGAGGCCTTCAACGCTTCCTCGGGTTTGCAAACTTCTACAGGAAGTTCATAAAGAACTTCTCTGCCACAGTAAAACCTCTTACTAAACTCACCAGCCCTAAGATACGCTTCACCTGGACATCGGACGCCCAGCATGCCTATGAGGATCTGAAGCGGCGGTTTACCTCTGCTCCCATTCTGAGGTTACTTAATCTCGAGTTGCAATATGTTCTTGAAGTTGACACTTCTGACCTTGCCCTCGGAGCTGTTTAGTCCCAAAAGGACTCACTCTCTTCCCCGTTGCACCCCGTGGGCTTCCATTCCCGAACGTTGAATAACGCCGAGCTAAACTACCCCATAGGGGAAAAAGAACTACTGGCCATATAAAGCTCACTGGAAACTTGGAGACACCTATTGGAAGGTACCCCACTACCCATTATTATCTACTCCGACCACCGCAACTTGCAATACCTCAAGACAACCAAAACGCTTTCGTCCAGACAGGTACGCTGGAGCTTCTTCTTCGACCGTTTCAACTATCTAATCACTTACAGGCCAGGTTCAAGAAACGGGAAGGTGGACTCCCTCTCCAGGATTGGAGAGCTCTCTAGAGTTGTATGTGCTCCTACCTCCATAATACCCCCCAAAAGGGTATTGGCTACCACTGTTAATCTCAAAAACCAACTCAAGACTCAACTACAAACCGCAACCTCTCTCCCCTCAGGGCTCTTGCAGGATGCCGAGGGGTTCCTCCACAAAAGGTTCCAGGTTGTACATTCCCCCCACCATGCACGTGACCATCCAAAAACTCCTACATGATTCCCTGACCGCGGGTCATCCAGGCATTCACAGGACGCTTGACCTTATACGACGGTACTTCTGGTGGCCGAATATGCAGGAGACTATAACCAACTAAGTAACAACTTGTGTTGTCTGTGCATCCTGCAAACATGAGAAGCGTTCTCCGTATGGGTTGTTAACCAACCTCCCCATACCCAACAACCCCTGGGAGGTTGTCGCTTTGGATTTTATAGTAGACCTTCCTCCTTCGAAGGGACACAACACCATCCTTGTCGCTGTAGACCACCTGACCAAAATGGCCCACTTCATACCGCTTCCTAGACTGCTGACCGCCTGGGAGACTGCTGATGCATTCATTGCAACCCTTTTAAACTGCATGGCGTACCCTCCAGGATCATCACCGACCGGGGCTCACAGTTCGTATCCAGATTCTGGAAGGCAATCTGCCAGAAGATGCACATCTATCATAGGCTATCTAGCGCATACCACCCGCAAACTAACGGGCTAACTGAGCGTACCAACCAAAGCCTAGAGCAGTTCATACGCTGCAACTGCACCTACCTCCAGGATGACTGGTTGAACCTCTTGGCCCTAGCGGAGTTTTCATTTAACAATGCTGCCAGCTCCTCCACCCGAAAAAACCCATTCTTTGCTAACTATGGGTTCCACCCGGTCCCGTTCCCCTTGGAAGTCGTACGTTCTAGCAACCCCTCCTCTGACTCATATATGGATTGCCTGCAACGGAATTTGGCCGTTATGAAGAGGAACATAGCTACTGCCCAGGAGCGGCAGAAAAAGTACTATGATCTCCGCCACCGAAGTCCTCCAAAATTCGAAGTGGGTGACTTCGTGTGGTTGTCTATACAGGATTTGAACTTGAGGACCCCCTCTAAAAAGTTTAGCAAACTCTTTATCGGCCCGTATGTGATTGATAAGGTCATGAACGACACCGCTGTGCGGCTCTCGCTCCCATCGGATTTGAGGATCCACCCGACATTCCACGTGTCCCTCCTCAAACCTTTCCAGGACAACCCTTTCCCTGACCGGGTTACCCTGAGTCCTCCTCTGGTCCTGGTAGATGGTGAAGAGGAATATGAGGTCAAGAAGGTCCTCGATTCCCGGAGGTTTTGGAATCGATGGCAGTACCTCATACGGTGGAAGTCCTACGGTCCGCAAGAGGACTCCTGGGAGGATGCCAGGGATGTCCACGCTCCCCGGAAGGTACTGCTTTTCCCCGGAAGGTACCCCGATCTGCCTTCTCCTCCTGGAACCCTTGGAATGGTTCCCCTGCGGGGGGGAGGTACTGTGACGGTCGTTCCGGGTTGCGGACTGCCTTGGGACTCCGGAGTCGCACTGTGCAGGCGCGAGGAGGAATTCCCTCTACTCGGGGCCGAGTCCGTTCTTGGCTTCACACAGGAGCACCTCGGGACTCCGCCCCCTCTCACCTCCAGGCTGGAACTGCGGAATGTGCAAGTGCACCTCAGGACTCCGCCCCACTTCGTTCAAGCAGTCTGCTTAAAGCCGCTGCTCGCTAATTGATCGGCGTCCTACTGTTGGTTGTAGCAGGACGCTGATCAATCAGCTATCCTCCCTTGACTTCCATCCGGACCCTATCCAGATTGAACAGCAACCCCTCCTGGGTCTCACCACTTCCTGAATACTCCACAAACCGCAAGTATATGGGCTAGGTCCCATCTGTGTCTGGAACTTGGTGCTGTTCTGAATTCATTGACATTCTATGTATGCTTCCAAGATACCTGATACTAATTAACCTGCTTGATACTGCTGTTGCTGAACTCCTGTGTAAAACCATACTTGTGCCGCAATTACTGCTCAATGCAAACTCACACTGGTGCTGCACTTATTGTTCATATCACTCCCCTGCTTGATAGTGCTGTTGTTGAACTCCCGAGACAAATCATACTGTGGCGAGTTGCTGCTGATAGCAACATTCCATGTGAGAAAGGGGCTGTGTTGTATTCTTTCTACATTGCATATATGCTTCTAATAGTCTTCATCGTACTGAACTCTGCGTGTGATTGCTGTTGTACTGAACTCATAGACATTGCATATAGTCAGGTACACCTGTGAGTACAAGGCGGTCTGCCTGTAAACGGTCCAGCCTAATTGCTGGACTTGTGTTTGCCAATTCATACCCTCTCTTCATACGGGGTATGTGAAGCAGCTCCCTCTCAGCCTCTATAAATACAGGGCATTGGAGACAGAGCTGCAAGACTGATCCCCATTTCTCCACATAGAACTCTTACTCCGCAGTTGAGATCCTCATCCATCCCCCGGGGAAGCGAGGCATTACTGCACCATCTACAGGTGCATCTTCACTGGTGTGTGTGCTGCTTTTAAAATTAGTCTCTAAGTTTTAAGAAATCTAAATTTAAAAAATGTACCCATTTCAAATGCTTGTGTTCCCCAGTTTGGTTTTATTGCTCCAAATATGGAGCCTAAAAGGCTTTCAGTAACTTCAGTAATATTAATTATTTCCTAAGCAAAGTGAACTAAACTGCATACTGTTCATGTTTTTAAACATTAAAGTCAGCATTGGTTGTTAAGAAATTATGAACGGCTATATTTATATCATAGAGGTACTGCTTTCATGAATATATTGGTGTGAATATATTTGCTCAGTAGCTAAAGCTCACTCTACACAACCAAATGAGTCAAGATAAAACTGAACAAGGACATTAATAGTCCTACTATTACTATTAATAGTACTACCAGTACTAACCAGTACTATTAATAATAGTTAATAATCCTTTGATTATACAGTAGAAAGGCATCATGGCACACTCACAAACCAGCATGTAAAACAACTTGTCTCACCACTAAGGATAATAACAGAGGTTTGGATACACGTCTTCTGCAGAAGCCCATTTCGTGTGCACCTTACTGTATAACCGGTGACAAATTGTTGAGTGCGTTTGTTGTTTGTTTTGCTTGACCTTTGATTATACAGGCGTCCCCAGTATAGAAATTGTTGGCTAAGTTTGTCTTGTCATTTCTAGCAGTTAAGACAATATATTATATATTGCAGCCAAATCCACAAATTATAACACTACAGAGATTTGTGATTAAATTCTTGTGCTGAAGGCAAATAGACTGTTAACTTTGCAAAGGAATTTGTACCCCCTTAGTTCCCCTTAGTTTAGTACATGAGGTGAAGCTCTGCTAACTTCCATCACCCAATAATGTACAAGGAAAAATATGTTTTATTATTTTCCTTTACATGATTGGGTATTCTTTGCAAAGTGAAATTTTACCACATTCACCAAGCTAAGGATAACTGCCCTTGTGCAATTTCCCTTGCAAAGTGAATAGACTATTTGTCTTCAATAAATTAACTCATATAGCTCAGATCAGATTATAAACCTAGATGCTATTTTATACAGTATGCTATAATCCTTATGTGCACATAATTGTATAACTTTAAGGTATGGTCATTCTACTTATTAAAGTTCACTTCTGATTAAATCTATTAACTCCCGGCACAAAAGTAATCATCAACAGCTTTCTCTCCACTCAATTTCAAACGATCGCACAGGGGGCAGCTCCGCAAGGCAGGGAACCTTCAAATCTATGCAGGGAAGAATATGTATAGCAGTAGGTTGGGAGGTGCGAGGTAAGTGGGTGGCACCACACCTCTATAACTGATAAAGACAAGCAAGGATTGGCTGAAAATGAGCCTGGAGTTTTTTCAAGGTGCCTGTGGCACCTTGAAAAAAACCCCAGGCTCATTTGCAGCCAATCCTTGCTTGTCTTTATCTATGCAGGAAAGAAAAAACCAAAGAGCACCCACTCTATGTGAAGGATCATTTATTATAATAGAGCTAGGAAAATGTAATGTACTCACAAATGCCATAAATAATCAAGCTTATCCAACAGTTTCTTTCAATGGAGGCTCAATAGCCCATCGAACACACAGCACTGCTCATTCAGCTCTCTGAGATGCTATCTTCCAGCACCGGGTTCACTGGGTTAACGCGTTTCTGGGGCATGCCCTCTTCCTCAGAACCATAGCTGTTTCAAGCCCGAACAGACTTTTAGATTGAAAGTTGGC